CATCTTTGTGTAGATTCTCGTCTCTGTTTGGCAGCATCTCGTTTACAAACTAAAGCTTTCAAGGTTTTCTCAATTTTTTTTTCTCCTTCCCACATTTTTCGATAACCTTCATGTCTTTTTTTATTTCCGTACTAAGCAATTTCCATTGTTCGAATTCTTCAGAAGCGATTACCTTTTCTAAAAGGGATTTGTTGTCATATAGAAAAGATATCATCGTTTCTTTTTTATCAAGTTGATGTTTCGCCCAAAACGGCACCTCTAGTTCAATATGATGACGTATTTTATTGTTAATTTCACCGAAAGAAGAAACTTCCTTTACATGTACGTCTGTTGGGCCCATCACCTTAATGTTTTTTAGATTTAAATCTTTTGGAAAATGAGCATTCTTCCGCAGGTGTTTTGAATTCCACTTGTGTTCCCAAATTTCTATATTACGTGCTAAGTTTTTTCCATTTATTGAAAATTTAAATTGGATGCCAAATAATTCTCCAGTATCCGTGTTATGAAGGACAACATCGGTATATTCTGGTGTTTTTATAATCTTGTTCATATACGTTAACGAACCTTTCCCATCTTCCTGTATCACGTTTACAGGCAAATTATTTTTTATAATTTCTGCCAGTATCTTTACGGTTTGTAACTCTTCAAATGCAACACCGAGAACAATGTTTTCATTATTGGGTAGACTGCTTATCATGTCTGATTTTTTCTTAATTATTTCCATAGCAGCATTTATACCGCCTTTTCTTAGAGTTTCCACAAATTCAAGCCATGGGTAACGACTATACATGGACAAAAAACTAGCACCAGGGAGTGCAGATGTACTTTGCCTTCCCTTTGAAGGTACGATTTCTTTGAAATGTGCGTACAAGTGATTAAAATGTGCACGTTTTTCTTCATTTGTTTTAATAATAATCATTTTCACCAACTTTATGTTAGAATCCGGCATTTTCATGTCCAGACATACTCTATGTACGAACTGTTTCTCTAATTTTTGTCCAGAATTAAATGAAGGGAATGTCGGCTTTATTTCTTGTGTAACGTTGAATACCACATCTGCGTTCAAACGTACATCAACTTCACACTTTTCACAGACTGGAAAACAAAACGCAAAATTTCCACTGCCATAAACAACCTTTGGTATTCCCTTTTCATTATCTATAATGCAATTCAAAGTATCTGTCTTTAGTGTCATGTGCTCTGCAGGTTTACTGAAATTAAATTCATGAATTTGCCATCCTACTTCGATAGTAAGAACATAAGCATCTGGTGCAGGTACATTTGCTTCAACCGTTTTAGTTTTTTCTAGAATAACACGTTCTTTTAAAATGTTAGGAAACAGACTTTTAAATTTCAATTGATCTACGATGTCCTCAAGCAATTTGTGTTTAAAGCATTCAGAAATATTTGAAAAATTGTCATTAGATTCACTCAACCACTCTCTTATAGAAGACACCATCTTGTAATTGTCCTGTCCATCAACGATTCTATAAGTGTGTTCACCATTATTCAATTTATTTTCGGTAACAAGAGTAAAAACACGTTTCAAGTTTTCTTTTTTGGCGTCTTCTAATAATGATGTCACTTCATAGTCTAATTTGGTGGAAATATCATCTTCAGAAATAATGCCTTGTTCGACTAAAGGTTTGCATTTCAATTTAAGTTCATTGATTATTTTCAAATGAATATCGTCTAGAATATCTTCTGGTATAATGAAATTTGTTTGGAGTAATTGCGTTAACGCATATTTGTATAACTCTATAAGTTTAACATCTTTGCTAATCACTATATAAAAGAAAAATAAAAGCAATTAGTTGAAATCTTGCACACATCTCTTTAACTTTCCAAAAGGCATATTTTGAAGATAAAACATATTTTTAGATATACATGTGCTCTTTTATACACGAACAGTGTGACTAATTTTTTCAATGGGTACATTAGCATAACGGCATAAACTTGCAATGGATAGTCAATCGATAGCATCATCCATTATTTATTTCTCGTTTTGGTGTACAAACTATGAAATTAACTAACACAATACCTTTATTCTTTAGAACTGTTAGTTAAATTGCGGAAGATATGTTACAAACAAGAATGTGTCCATAGTACACAGATGGCACACTCGCACTATAATTTTCTACGTTCAGTGAACTGTAAAATTTGGGTCAAAGCTTTAATTTGGCATTAAAATTTAAAAGATCATATCATAAATAGGGAACATGTGTTCCAAGTTTCATGTTGATTGGACTTCACCTCCATCAAAACCTACCTTGACCAAAAACTTTAATCTGAAGCGGGACAGACGGACAAACGAACAAACGAACGGACAGACGAACGAACGGACATTCAGACCAGAAAACATAATACCCCTCTACAATCGTAGGTGGGACATAAACATGTATCGATTGGGAACGCATTTAAAGTTGTATCTTCGAGATGTGATTGAGAGCATTTTGTGTCAATTCTTTTATTTCCGCCATCAAGTTTGCGAATTCTTCGAACATTATTTTGCCTGTCACCTTGATATCACCTATTATTTTGTTTGATTCACATTACAGAAAATAGTATGATAATCTAGATTGTGTACAAATTTACAAATTCCTACAATTAAGTTAATGTACCTCACTTACACTTAAAACCAAATGTTGTTAACGTGCAAAAGTTGGTACATACGGAAGCGTATTAGCGCCACAAATTTTTAAATAGAACTTTTCTTCCTATCTTTGCGTTATAACGCAAACATTTGCGATATAACGCAAACCTTTGCGTTATAACGGAAATATCTTGATTTCAATTATTTATTAAATTTTGTATATATGTCCGTCTGTCATTCATTTCGGTTATGATTTACTAGTAGATAAAAATAGAAACATACATAAAAGGCCAAATCATTATAATAAATATGCATAGGAATAATGGAATACTTGAAGTGCAATGATACATAAATTAAGACTGATTTGTGCATCAGAAAAGTTTATAATAAAAATAAGAAAATAGATATAGTATAGTATTTAGGCATATTTAAATTGAAAGATAATAAATAATGTCATACAATTGTGAAACTTCCAAGTCAAATAGACAAAATGATTTTACTGCTTTAAAATGAATTATTTATAAGGAAACATTTTTTTTAAATTTTGATGCAAGAAATCGTTTTTTTTTAATCTCAGAATATGATAAAGATTCTTTGATAGAAAGTTGAATTTTCATTTCAATATAGTGAAGCATTTTTAAGATGCTTGGGTAGCAATTTGAATGGAGAGAACATAATTTTATTAATAAAACATCTTCATTCTATACATTTATTGCCAAAGGGTAGCTTGTTTGAATCTAACCAACTTTACACAGTTCTTAAAACGAGAGCTTACTTCGGAAGTATTTTTATATTCGGTTATAGCTATATTAGCAGGGTTGATTTTTTTTTCTTCGGTATAACCTCAATTTACTCAATTTTTTTTGTAATATATATACAAGTAGTAACATGGATATCGTTTTTGGGGGCCTTTATAGTTTGCTGTTTGGTGTGAGCCAATGCTCCGTGTTGAAGACCGCACTTTGGCCTATGATGGTTTACTTTTACGAATAGTGACTTAGATGGAGAGTTTTCTTATTGGCACTCATAACACATCTTCTTATATTATTCTGCTCATTATTAGTCAATGATATGTTCTAATTATTCAAGCATTTTACTTTGCAATGACTACAAAGGTGATAAAGGAGTAGGCCCGGTAAGGGCCGTTTTTGGCCTCAAAATTCAGGTTCATCTGATGAAAGATTTTGGACACTTTTTAAACACTTCAGTGTCTACTTCAGTCGATTCGATTAGTTTATGTGAAAGATTTGAACTGATTTAAACGGACTGCAATAAATTTTGATTCACTGCAATTTTCATTCTCAAAATGGATTGTTTTGAATCATTGCGAAATGGTCAAAAGACTATGGATTTTCGCTAAAAATCTAGCAGTTTTATTCTCATACAATGTCATATCTGGAAATCTAAACATATCTCTTGAAGAACCATGTCATAAAGGAACAACAATTCACATCTTGTCGGAAAACTACAGTTTTGCTTATGTTAGAAAAATTACATTAAGCTTAAAATAATACCGCTGAATATAATTTTTCTATTAAAGAAAAACCAATGAAAATTCACAACAGCTTTCAAATCAACCTGTAATAAAAATAAAAGAAATAATACGCTTGATAAAACTTTAGCATTCCACTTTTTATGCCATATGATACACAATGAATGTATAAAACAAAACTAAATTTTTAGCTTATCGAAACTAAAAACTGAGGGCTAAAATTTTAGCTTTCAAACATTTTGGGTTCAATTTTTTTCTGTTAAAATTTTAGCCATTAGAACAATTTTAACAAGTACATAAATTTTGTTTTTTCATGATTTAAAATGCTAAAGTTTTAGTTTTTACAAGGATTTGTATAGTACTATACAAATCCTTGGTTTTTACAACAACATTTTAATTGAAAGTGAAAACTTATCCAATAAAATCAAATTTAACGGATTTCGCAGATGAGATTTAATGTTTGATCTAGACAAATCACGTGTACGTGTATACATGTAGTTACATGAACAAGAATTGCATTTTCCACATTCATTGATTTATATGCTGATCATGCTGATTGGTAACCTCAAATTATACTTATCAACTTTTGGTGGATTGCACATGCTTAATCTGTAGTTGTTTATGTGGTTTCAGAAAACTTATTTGTTAGTCCTTTTGTTAATCTACTACGCTTTTCGACACGGTATTATCAGTTATTTTAGCCAAATGATTTTTGATGATGCTTCTGGTATTATTCACTTCTTGTATACTATAAAGCCATATACTGAACTAGGCTGTATTGTATACGGTGTGTCCATATAACACTATATATTACATGAATTATATAAGGTTTACTCTACGGACCCTATTTGAAGTCATAAGTCATAAAAAAAATATTTTAGAATACTAACTGCCTAATTAATGTAAAAAAACATTGAACAGAATGTGGTGGGGTTTAATATGTTAGTCCGATCCCATTCCTCCCCCTAACCGGGGACAGTGGTGTAACAGTGCAACATAAAAATGAACTATAAAAATGATTTGTCAGTTGGTGGTTATAGACACGTTTATATACTGAAATATGTTCTATTTTAGCAGCTACAACTTCGCTTCCGGGAACTACAAGTTTTTCATCTAATGGTATGTAAGACAATATACTATTTTCATATTACCGACTTTTGACTGGTTTATATTATTGTTCGACAGGTTACCTACGACATCCAAGTACTCGGTCAATTAAGATAAAAGTAAAGAAGTAACATCAAACATTAGATCTGTACAATTCTTAGGGGAAATATACTGCTTTATATTCTCTTTACACGACAAACTCATTGGTAAATAGTAAAATTTCCCCTCAAGCCACACCAATTAAATGTTTGATGTAACTTCTTAACGTTGCTCTTAATCGACTGAGTACAAGGATGTCGTAGGTTATAAACAGTAATCAAGGACAACTTTTTGTTTTAATGTTTTAATGTTTTAATATTTATATACTGTTATTGTGTATTCTACCTGTACTCCTCTTTACACCCTTTAGAAAAACAATTTCAGTATTAACACATTTCAAAACAGTTTGCAATTTTTTTTAAGTCTGCTATTTTATATTTCACTCTTATTTTTCAACATGCCTGGCCACGTAAATTGAAATACTTCATGAAGAAAACTGTTTTGTTCCAGGAAAGCCTTCTATTTTTCGTGCCCACACTTATCACCCAGTATATTAGCATTAATTTAGAGTTCCCAATATCAAATATAATCTTTTTTTATGTGATCAAGTTTACATGCATGTGTGAAATGTTCTAATTTTTAAATTTTTAAATATTAAAAACAGAGTAACAATTTCTTTTTTGATAAATGGGATTTTTAAACCCTATATTTTATTTTTACTTATTCATCACTTTTTAGGAACACTTTATTTTTTTTTGTGATTATGATAATTGTCGCACCTGAAACAAAGTTAGTAAGATAAGAACTGCTTCTCATTAAGTAAAGTTATTGTATGTTAAGTTGAATTAATTAATTTAAAAGGTTGTGAGCTCTGTTTTTCTCTCTCTTTCTATGGGAGTCTATTGCTGTATTTTGAAGAAAAAAGACTTTCAATTAATGCAAAATGTTCAGTGATAAGTTTTCTGCTTAAGTAAGCTTGAAAGGAACTTCTTCTGAAAGATCAATGTTATTATCTAATAGTTGTATTACTATCAGTACATAGCAGTACACTATTCCAGGCCCTGCCCTTAGGTCATTGTAAAGTTTTCTGTCTTATAGTCATTTTGATAAGAGTAACTTTAGATACATCAATGATTTTTTTTTTGAATTTGCATGACTATTAGTACACATCAGATTGAAGATTATTTCAAGGCCATGCCATCAATTGAAGGTTCATGTTAAGTGACTTTGAATTAAGTATAAATTTTCAGTGTAAAGTTTTCTGCTTTAGTCAGTTTGACAGGATCTTCTTGTGAAAGATCAATGATACTTTGTATAAAGTTGCATGTCTATCAGAAAATATCAGTTTTGCAATTTTTTTAGAGGCCCTGCTGCTTAGTATATGGTCCACTGATTTTGAATGTTAAGTTTTCTTGTTAAGTCAGTTTGATAGGAACTACTGATAAAATAAATGATATTTTGCATAGTTTTAAGTGGTACATCTATTACTATGCATAGGCAGATCCATTACTGGATCATGACTGGAGCCCCCCCCTTTTTAGGTCAGTCAGCAGGCCCCCTTACAAAAATTTCTGGATCCGCCACTGCTATCAGTGCATATCAAAATGATGACTATGTTATGGCTCTGTCCTTAGTCATGGTACAGTGATTTTAATTAATAAGCAGTGATGCTGTCCATCAAATTTGCTGTATCTAAAATTCTGCAGACAGACAAGATGCGATGTTATTATTATTTTTTATGGAGAAACATTTCCTTATGACAGGCTTACAATATTATCCCTATTATTATACACAGTTCTGTAATTGCAGGTAGCAAAAGTTCCCTGGGTATATCATTTTCAATGAAACTAAGTGGTAAGTTTTGTAAAATTATTCTTGCAAGAATCACTTTTAAAAATATTACAGTTACACAACCATGGCTTTCTTTTCAATTGTGTGTAAAAAGTAAAATCACAAAAATACTGAACTTTGAGGAAGATCAATTCGGAAAGTCCATAATCACATGGCAAAATCAAATAACAAAACGCATCAAAAGCGAATGGACAAGAACTGTCATATTCCTGACTTGGAACAGACATTTTTAAATGGAGAAAATGGTGGATTAAACCTGGTTTTATAGTGCTAAACCTCTCTCTTTGATGACAGTCTCATCAAATTCCCTTATATTTACAATGATGCGTTAACTAAACAGACACACAATCAATAAAATAGTCAAAATATGGGTACAGCAGTCATCCTCATGTAACAATTTTAAAAGGAACAATTTAACAGAACACAAAAACATCTATCTACAAACACATTCATTGATTTGCATGTCTGACGTCAGAAAATTTTATACGTCACATATATTTGTCTTCAATGTACATACAAACAATTTTAAAATTTCACATATGCAATGTTAGCATACAGGGTTAAAAAATCAAAAGTATGCAAGAATAAATTTCAGAAATAGACCAAGATATAAAATAGTTCAAAAGTTATATAGAACTTATAAGAATCCACAAATAGTTAATTCCACTACGCGATTGAAGTGAAAATATTTTTAACACATAAAAACTAACTTGACATGTTTTGAAATATTTTTAATTTTTTTATTAGTCAAGTTTGCTGGGAACCACTTATGGCAAGATTTTAGTATGCAGTTGTTATGCTCCTGCTTTAAAAAAGTTAAGGGATACGTGTTGTTTTCAATTTTTTTTCCCTCTCTCTGTCTGTCGGTCATTCCCATGAATATTTTTTCCTTGAATTTTCTCAGGAACTGCTTTACAACTGCAAGGATTTCTGAAATTTGGTTTCAGGGTTATATGAGTCAGCAATACCATGTGATGTGTTGTTAGATTCATAAGCCAAAAATTCCCATCTACCAAACACTTGCATCATTTCAAGTTATTACATGACATCCAAGTTGAAAATTTTCATCACAATTTTCAGTAACTACATTACAATGATTTCTGAAATTTGGTTGATATGAGTCAGCTTTACCGTGTGCTGCGTTTTCAAATTTATCACTCAACAACTTCCTGTTCACTGAACACTTACATATTTTTACACTATTAACATTTTCCAGTAGCTCACAGTTTCACTTGTTTTAACTTTGGGTTATCTCATCTTCACTGAGATGAAATGGCATATTGCACTTTTGGTCATGGTTCATTGACTTTAAATATTTTGCAGAAGTATTGCTACATTAATTTCAACATTTGGATTACTTTTAATGTCATATCAACATTTTTATTTATTTATTTGGAAAACTTGGTATTACCACACTTTTCTCTTGAATAAGTAAGTGTTGTGTATAGATGCCTAGAAGTAAAACATACTATGGAAGGCCACTCTTTTCTACATTGTAAATGAATAATTTGAAATGACAGTTTTATAAATGTTCACCTATAAACTTGAATGATATTGTTCTAGGGTTTTTACATCACATGGCTGATTCAGATGCTGTTTTAAGAGCAGAATCAGGAATGTCCTTAATTGAAGAAGAAGAGGTGGAGACAAAGCCAGAACAGTTGATCAGTTATACTGATGTGTTGTTGTGTCCAGAAACACAAACTGCAGCAGAGCCATACTTTAGCACAGATGCATGGCAGCTTGTTTTAAATACCCTCAAAGTATTAGAAGGTAATCAGTCTGAATATCTATAATATGGCATTGACACATTCCCTTGGAACTGATTTTTCAAATGATATAAAAGGTTTAATCTAAATGGTTGAAAATATATTGAAAGGTACAGAAAGGTAGTAAAAAAAACCACCATAAAGCAAAGAACATTGGAAAAAAATTCAAAATAATATCAACCAAGATATTAAACAGACCTATGTTTCTGGGATCTCCTTTACTTAAGCATGTTTAGCTCTTGAGAATATCATGTCACATGTGAAAAGGAAGCATTGATTTTCATAGGAAAAACATTTAATAGCAAATATCAGAGCATGATGCAGATATTCACAGTTTCAAAACTTATTTGAATGACTAGGTTTTTTTTTAAATGATTTTATACTATAGTGTTATTTTTAAAAAGAACCTTCAATTAGATTATTTTCATTACTTTTTTATGTTTTAGATATGTATATTGTTAACACTCAGAAGAAATATGATATGATTTCTCCATCTCGGACAAGAAAAGGCAAAGCTTTAATAGGATCAGCTAAAGGTTGGTCATTAAAAAAATCATTTTGAAAAGAAATATAAATATAAGGACATGATGTGTTATAGTCAATGAGACAACCATTCAGAAAAGCCCATTAAACAAGTTTTAAACAAACAGACCATTGTACGGTCTTCAACAATAAGACAATAAGAAAAACCTATGCCTTCTTGAGTATTCAAAGTTTAAGAGACCTCAACAATAAAAATATTGGTATTCTATTTGTCAAGAACAAATTAGAAACCTTTTCATCAAATCAATGACGTGACTATAAAAACAACCATACGAGTTATCTCATTCTGATTAGATATAGCATGTTCTGAAGGGCTATTTTGCCAATGAAAAAAGAAAGATATTTTTCGCTTGAAACCCTGCTGATATTTCTGCTTAATAACACATAACATTAATACAGATGGGAAAGTGAAACATTTGCTATTGATTTCAATTGTTCTTTCTCTTCAAGGCATTACTAAAAAAAAAGTCACAATTAATAAAGCAAGCTATTGATTAAGCATCATTGTGAAGTGGGAAAAGAAGTATAATTTGAGCAAGTACCATGGTTGAGATAGTGAACTATGATTTAGCATGTTACTAAGACAATTAGTATATTCTAATTCCATTTAAAGAATGTCATTGTGTTTCAAATATGACCAAGCTTTGGCTTTGTCTGAATCCGTGAACCAGTTTTGATGGTCAACAATAGTTATTATATATGATATAAATTGCAAATTCATGTATGATTCTTGTTAACAACATTTGTAGCATTAAAAAAAATATTTAAAAATTTCACTTTGTAAACTTTATTATTGAATTCAGGATCAAACAGTTTATAAATTTATTGTAGGAAGAATATTTAAAAAGTGTTCAAAAAAGAAATCAGACCAGATTGATTCAGGTAATTAATTCTTTCAAGAAGAAAAAAAAAGGAAAAATCAAAAACTTAACTGCCTTCGTTGGTTGAAAGGTCATTTTGGGTATTACCATTTATTTGGTGTCAATCATATGTAATTAAAAACCTGCTCTTAAGAGCCTCAAGTTTTATATATTGTTGATTTTACGTTTTTGATTTATGGGAATTTATTCATAAAAATTTGAGAGAATTCTGATTAAAACTCAAAAATGCTTTGAGGGATTTCCATGAAACTTTGGTGAGCGGTGGTGTAGTGGTGAGTGCATCGGACTACTATCACAAAGTTTCCTGGTTCAATTCCCAGTTGGGATGAAAATTTCAGGAACTGAATTGTCAGCTCTCCCTAGACACCATTTGCGAGTATGGTCTTGAGAAAACGATGATAGTCCGTTGGAAGGGGACAATAAATGGCTGACCGGTGTTAAGAGAGAGCCATAGCTCTTGCATGTAAGAGACACTCTTGGAGATTTCGAAACAGAGCAGCACTCGTACCCGCAAAGTGGAAAGAAATTAATATAAGTTGCAAAACTTGATTCCCAATCCACTATAAATAAATATGTGTAAACTAAACTTTGGTGATTTGTTTATTTGCATTGACATACCTTCCCTTTTCTTATTTTAAATTTTGTTGATCTTATGTTTAAAAGGAGTATTGGGATTTTATTCATAAAATATGAGGGATTTTCAAGTTTTCTAACTCTTACACAAAACACTTTGAGCAGTTTTCCTGGTGACTTGATTACATGTATAACCACCCTTTTTTCAATATAAATTTCTGATATGAAATGGATACCACTGTGTTTTCATGTCTCACAATTTACCATGTTGGGGGCCGAAGTCTATTTAAGCAGTGCTCAAAGTATTTCTAGCGGAACATTTCATTAAAGCATAATGATAATGAAGAGCTGAAAGGGTGGTGAGGTGTATATCATGCCCTCATGGCCCAGCTCTTTGATAATTGTATCTGACAGACATCCACTGCCTGTTTGCAGATACTTTGAATATTTCAGTTTGATGTTTGAACTTCAATGTTTTTATTACTTATTTCTCCAGTACAGCGAAATAAAACTCATTCATCTAGTTCGAGCGCATTTTCATGTTGTCAACTACTTTGAATAATGAGTGGGTTATGCTTAGCAAAATATGGGATAAAGTTTTGCTTTCTAAATTTCTAGCAATATATTTACACAGTCAGTATTGTACACAAAAGCTTACCATGAATGAGCATAGTATTTGATAAAACCAATACTTTTTAAAAGGATCAACAAGTCATTAGCAGGTCATGTGTTTAATTTGTTGTTGGGTAAGGTTAATTTTATTTTACTTGTGTTAGAATATTTGGGTCACAATAAGCTACAATTATTAGATGTGCTAGCTAAGTCAAGTTACATCTGAAGTATTTGGTGATAAGATACTTATTTTTAGAATATATTGTATTACAATTGAGCCCCTAATGTAATGGTGTGACTAGTCAGTTTCTTCAGCACAGTCGCATTTAACCCTTAATAATTGATTACTTTATAGGAAAAAGAAATGTATATTCCTTCACAAGTGAAGACAGTTCTCCACTAAAAGCAATGGAAGGTGAGTGAGTAAAAAAATGTTATATTCAAATTAACTTTATTTTAGAAAAAAACAATATTTAGCTCACCTTACTCATAGGGACAATGTAAGTTGAAACTATGACTTATTCTTATATCCATATAAATGGCTGTCCTTAAGACCAAAGAATTGTTAAACCATTTGGAAACCTGAAGCCTAATTTTTTTCTGTAGTTGTCTTGTTTCATAATAATTTATAGGTAATGAAGATTAAAGTTATGACCTATTTGTAGGAAAAACAGAAAAAAAATCCTCAACAAGTGACGACAGATCTCCATTAAAAGCAACAGATGGTAGGTATATTTTCTTATTTCAGTATGTATATATACAGCGTTATGTTGTCCTAGATATAACTATGTGTCTAGCCTACTTCAAAGAAAAAGAATTAATATAAGGCATGTCAGATACTAGATTGAAGTTTAGTTTATAGAACAAAGTGATCCTATAATGCTTTATTGGCTTCGTTGTCAACAGTTATATGGATCTGCTTACCCTTCCAGAGCACCTGAGATCACCCTCAGTTTTTGGTGGGGTTTGTGTTGCTTAGCTTAGTTTTTCTGTGTTGTGTCTTGTGTACTATTGTTTGTCTGTTTGTCATTTTTATACGCCCGTCAAATTTTGACGGGACGTATTATGGTATACAAATGTCAGGTGTCCGTCCGTCCGTCTGTCTGTCCGTCCGTCTGTCTGTCTGTCTGTCTGTCCGTCTGTCTGTCCGGCGTAAACATGTCGCACCGTAACTTGAGAACGACTTAACTAAATTTCATGAAACTTAATATAGTTGTTTTTTATGATGGTCAAATGATCTGTATACTTTTTCGTGAAAATGAGATTTAAACTTTTTGAGTTAGGGCACTTTGTAACTAAAACAGGGGTGTGTTTTTTTTCACATGTCGCGCTGTATCTCAAAGACGGTTTATGATTATTGCTTAAAACTTTACACACTTCTTTGTTATATTAAACTGAAGATCTGTAAACTTTTTGGTTTCATACAAAATTTTATTTTAGTGATATTTGTAAAAAAAAAAACAGAGTGGGGGGGGTTTCACATGTCCCGTCGTGTCTCAAAAACAATAAATGGTTATTGCTTAAAACTTTCTCAGAAACTATTTATGATTATTGCATAAAACTTTCACACAAGACGTCGGGCGTATCATGCGCTCATGGCGCAGCTGTTTATTGTTTTTAGCCATAGCATTGTCAGTTTATTTTCAATTTATGAGTTTGACTGTCCCTCTGGAATCTTTCGCCCCTCTTTAAGGTTCAATCTGTGGTTACAGTCTTTTGAGAAATCAAACATTGTGTCAAACCTTCATGAAATTTTAGGAAATTTGAAAAGAAGGTTGTTTATGACCAACTGACAGTATTCAGAGCAAAGTTTTGAAAATAATCATATAAATATATAGTATACTGTATACATATGTTTGAAGGACTTTATTGGATAATGATTTTTGTAGGGAGAAGAAATTTGAATATTTTACCAAGTGCGGAAAGTTCTCCAGTAAAAGCAACATATGGTGAGTATGAATTTTAACTAGACATTTTTAACATCCGGATTAAATTAATGTGACAAATTTTTTTCTGGGCTTTTAATGAAAATACATAGAAACCATATATTTTCAGTATCAGGGTAAGATTAACTGTTTTTTGACACCTTCATTGTCTACTTTTCACCTTTCTTATGTTTCTTTTCAACTAATACCACTTGTAATTAAGAATGTAAAGACCTATATAAGTCTCTGAACAATTGGTTAAGATTGTTATTTTATTCAAAGTAAAATTGAGAATGGAAATAGGGAATGTGTCAAACAGACAAAAACATGACCGAAGAGCAGAAAACAGCCAAAGGCCACAATTGGTCTTCAATACAGCTGGGCCCTAAAAAAAAATGTGTACTAGTCTAGTGATAACTGATGTCAATCTAAACTCTGAAATATATTAATGAACTAAACTTAAAAATCAATCAAGATGAACAAAGGCCAGAGGCTTCTAACTTAGGACAGGTGCAAAAATGGGATTGGTTAAACATGTTATTTTGAGATATCCCCTATGCCTCTTGCCAATACAGAAAATACAAACACACAGCAATATGCACAGTAAAAGAATAGGTAACAAAAGAAACTAAAAAAAATGACAATGGTACATAAATTAACAAAGTAATACTAGCATTTACTGACAGGCCAGCTCAAAACTTGGATTAAACTGACTGAAAGTTAATGTCTTCATCATATGAATATCAATCTCAATTCCTCCTGTTAGTGATTAAGTATCATTACATCATAAAATATATGAGAAGTACATAACCCCGTCTCTTGCAATGACCCCCATTAGTGAATCAATATTAAAGCTAAAATTTGCCATCTTTAATAACATGAAAACAGAATCGTAAATATATCCCTTTTTTAATAGGTCTTTTTAAAGATTTTGAGTTGAAAGCTGACATTTTTTTGCGTTTGTAAATAATTTAACCGTATTGGATTTGAAACACTAGAAAGTATACGAAGTCTGCATGCTGATTTCTATTTATGAATGATGACCTTGTACTTATGATAAGATTTAGTAAATGTTTTGACTAGTTTATGATATCTAAAACCCTTGTGTAATTATTTTTCAGTAATACATAGATTTCTTTCGCTAAAATCTAGTACATTGTTACAGACACAAGCGAAATTGTAAAAGTTGAAATATAAACACCATAAGATGGTGAAAAAGGAATGTCACCATCTAAAAATGGATAATTAACCATATGAAATGTTTACTTTTTCAGATTTAAATGATGCTATAGATGTGTGCCCAATTTTAGAAAAGACCAGTGAAATTACTGGAGACGGTGAAAAGATAAGTGAAACTACTGGACAAGGTGAAAAGATTAGTGAAACTACTGGACAAGGTGAAAAGATTAGTGAAACTACTGGACAAGGTGAAAAGATTAGTGAAACTACTGGACAATGTGAAAAGATTAGTGAAATTACTGGAGATAGTGAAAAGATAGGTGAAACTACTGGACAAGGTGGAAAGATTAGTGAAACTACTGAAAATGGTAAATATTCTGAAGTTTTTACAATATCAAATCAGTCAAAGGTTGTATTGGTGACTGTGGCTTCTCTTCAAATTTTTGAGATGGCCACCATATACTTAAAATTGGAAGATTGTGTAAGGCTGAAGGTTTTATAATATCTCTTAGTATTTAATACAATGGACCCAATAGAGATTGTTTGCATCTCACTGATATTTACTTTACCATAGGGCAGATGTTTTATGAATGTGATAGTTTAGTTTCCTTATGCAACAATCTTTCTCAGGTGCTTTGCTGTTATTTTGATAGTTATTTTTGAAATGAATGATAACTGATTAAACAGATTTAAGGTGTGTGAAAACAAATTTCAGCTTCATAATGCAAAATTTAAAGAAGTTGAAATAATGACAAAATTGATAATGGAAATTGGGAATGTGTAAAAAAGCAATAATCCAACCAAAGAGCAGAAACATCTGAAGACCCCCTTTGGGTCTTCAACACAGAGAGAAAATCCAACACCTTTAGCTGGCAACTTATAAAAAATGTGTACTAGTGCAGTGAAAATTGACGCCACACTATTATTATCCAAAACATATAAAAGAACTAAACAAATAAGTGTCCCAGGTTAGGTGAGGGTTGAGATTCCCCTAACTGGGTATTAGGGGAATAGAAATTTGTTGAACCCTGAGATAAAGCTGAGGGTAATAGTTGTATCTAAGAGGACAATAAACTTATTTTTCCACAAATATCCATTCAGTAAGACTTTTATTATACTGAAAGAAACAACATACACAAAATAATGCCAGGGACTGAAGGGCATAGTTGACCATAATTCATTTATACAAATGTAAGAGACAGCATACACATTGTGATGACACCTTGTCTATCTCTTCTAAGGTATTGGAATGCTGTCTTTTCTTTTAAGGTAATCAGAAATAATATTTTGTCAGTTTGAATGACTGAATTTGTGTTTTTGGCATCCTAATGCATATCAAAGTGAAAGATCCAAAATATATTTTATATGCCTTGGACAATATATTTGTTTCATTAAAAACAAGTTGTTGTTTTGAACTGTACTTGGATAATCTAAGTATAAGTTGATCTGAATATATGATATAGTTTCCAAGTATTTACAAAGTAAGAAAAGTTATCTGTTCCTGATATGTCATGTGATTTAAGCAATATAAAAGTTTTTTTGCTAATATAATAAATTTATCTTTCTAGGAAGAAAAAGAACAAGTTGTTCTTCAAAAAATGAAAAAGTGGATGCAACAGAATCCAAGAAGTGCACAGTAAGACTGACTGATATTGGTACTATTAAAAACTTGAAAACATATGTTGATAAGACAGAGAAAAAAAGAAAAAGAAGAAAGATATGTCTAAAGAACTTGTAAAATAATATATGTAATATGTTAAGTTTTAAATAAGTTCATCTGATATGAAACAACAAATTCAGGATACTTTGTGTCATATTTCAAATAAGTTGAATGGATATCTACTTTTATGATAAAACTATGATATTTCAAAAAGTTGTAAATATTTTTTTGTCTAATTTATGAAAATCAGTAATAGAATAAGGAAAAAAGTGTAAATATATTAATATATAACAAAATCCCTTCAAGAAAATCTTGACCTTTAGCTTAGTCATGCAGTTCTATGACAGCAGAACTTGTTTTATGTTAAAGTAGCAACTTAAATATAAGTATGACCAAATGCTAAGCAAATAATAGAAATCAGGAAAGAGAACACATTGTTGTGTATTAATTCTGTGGGACTTGATTATTTATCTAAAGTTTTTCAATAGTGTTAATGTATGTCATGTCTGCAAATTTTCTACACTAATATTTTTCAATGTTAATTTTTTTTCCATCAAGTAAATGAGTCTGCAATACAAACAAAAGAGTGTATTGCACAGTTCTTTCCATTAAGGTCATGTGTATTCATTTATGCACAAAAAAAGTCATAACTATAAGTATTGTTTTTATAACTGTGTAATGTTTACCCTCCTATATCAAGTATATTGGCCAAGAAACTTGAGAAAAAAGTTCAAATTCTGTAAAGTTTTGCTTGAGCCGGATTTTTTCAGCAAGAAATTATTATATATATATAAAGAAGTTCAAGTCAAATATGAACTTGATTTTTACATTATACTATATATAGATATAATACTTTTACTTAATCATGCTCCTCGGATATACAAGTTGTCCAATTATTGAATTGAATAAAAGACAAATATTGGTGTGTAACGATCTTCATACTGTTAGCGTTCAGCCAGGATGAAGAGGTTATGCTCCAATTAGATTGAGTTATTATAGTTATAAAAAAAGGAAGTGCATTCTAGATTGATTGATAGAGATGGAATCTTATAGTTAATTTTAGTTATGATTTGAGGATAATGATATATAAATAAAGTCTATCTTGTGACTTTAATATTTTATTGTTGTTGTTTGCTTAAACAATATGTTAAGTTTTTTGTTAATAAATTTTGTGTCTTTATTTATTCTGTTACATTATCAGCTTTTTTGTGAACCTTCAGAATTTGTGGATAATCTTTTGCAATATAAATGTCAAAATATTCATGCATCATGCATCTTTAATTTTCTTTTTCTTTGCATAATATGTACCATAATGTATATAGAGATAATCTTTTTACCTAATCATTCTGCTCGGATATACAAGTTGTCCAATTATTGAATTGAATAAAAGACAAATATTGGTGTGTAACGATCTTCATACTGTTAGCGTTCAGCCAGGATGAAGAGGTTATGCTCCAAATTGTCTCTTGTTGATTATTGATTAACCCTTAAGGGTAAAGACCAAATGTTTGGACATTCAAAGAGTGTTTTGAAAACAATATCCACATGATTGTCTGAAGGTTTGCTATGGTGTAGAAGCATCTTGAAAACATATCTGCTTTTATCCTTTTTCCTTTTTGGGGTGGGTAAGAATATAATTCTTAATAGGGAACTATAATTAAATAGTTGGGAAAAAAGGAAAAAGGATATTGCAATTCTATCATGAATAAGCTAATTCTTCATTTAAACTTTGCTCATGATGGTGAACCCAGTGTGGTTACCATTGCGCCCCAGGCCAAAGTTAATTTAGCACTAAAAAGGAGTGAGTTTTTATTAGATGTTGTTAATAATTATATGCAAATGCAAAATGAAAATGATATTGTAGAAATAGAAATTATTTTATCAGAGTATAATCGCAATTTTACATTAGGCTTTTTATTTAAACAATTATTAAATGACAATAATGAAGTAAAAAGATGTAGAGAGGGCAAAACAGCTCATCTTGTTCCACTGATTGAAAAGTTCAAACTTGAAACAGACTTTGTTAAACTGCTTCTGCCACGAAAAATCAGAGCAAAAAATGCTGTTGCCATTCATTCACTTTATATCAAACCAATGTATCGTTCTGTCATTAATGAGTTTTATTTACTTAATTTACATGGAGTAAATTCACAGGGACATATAAGTGCAGAAGATTTTATGAGGTTATTGCACGAACTTAAAACCTGTCATGCTCATTATTTAGTGCACATTTTACCAGTTTGCATTTGTTTGAGATGCACTGAATATAGACATGAAAGACTTAATCAGCTTTCAGAATGTACCTATGCAACACCTTACCATGGTCCTATTACAAATAGCCCTTTCCGTAATTTACCAGTAGGACAACAACAATTAACAGGTGGCAGACCTGGATAATGTTATTCTGTTATTCCATAGTTTACATGTATTACATCTTTCACATTGTTATTTGTTTATTATGCTAATAAATGATTAGTACACAATTGAATATCATTTGTCTTTATTTTAATCATATATAAGTTACTAGTAGTTGTTGATTTATTCATAGACGAAACATACTGAAAAATAATAAACAGAAAAAAAAGATTTGAAGAGGCCATATTTTGAATGAACATTCAAAATATTGTGGCATTTAAGGTCTCAAGGTCTATTGATTATTTAATATTTCATGGAAATGTGTTTTTTTTATTTTTTAATAAATTTCCAAATATAGGCAACCAATGTTCAACAGTCATAATTCGATAAAAAGAAAACAAATCAAGGCTGCAAACAAAAACTGTTAGAGTATTTTAAAGTTTCTCAACGTAACAGTTTTTTTCTTATTTTCCTCCTTACAAAGTCATTAACCATAGACATGGAATAACTTTTATGTTTAGGTAATTAGGTTTCATGATTGCCAATGTTCTACTATAATGTTCCAGCCAAAGACACAAGGATATGAATATTACAGTATAGCCTTTATCATGAAAAAACTCTTTGATTGTATTTAAAGCAACAGTAGTATACCGCTGTTCAATAGTCATAAATCTAATCAAACAATAAAACAAATTCGGGTTACAAACCAAAACTGAACAATCAATTATAAGATGAAAACAACATCAAAAGCACTGAACTACAACGAAAACAAACGCCAAGTTGAACATACATAGAAGCTGTATAGTCAGGAATATCATTTAGCCTCAGAAACAGTTCAAAGAGATTATTCAAAAGCAGAGATCAAGTTTAGTGTAAATGTTGAATAAGATTCTAGCATATCAAATCACACAAAATATCAGAACCCTATAATTTCTGTCATCAATACAAGTGTTCTCTAGAAATTTCAACGAGTGAATAAGCCATATGGTACTAGCATTAAACATCAGCTCCCTTTACAAACCTTAACACAAAATTATAAGCATTCGCCGAAAATTGAAGGGTTTGTTAGCATTGATAGCATGGAGAACTTGCATTACATTTCATAAACAATGCGTCTTTGTAGTGCTTTTGTGGATGCTTCTTCAGCGGCCTCTGCTTGATCTCTGATTTTGAAATGTCGACTTATTTTTTTTGTTTTGTTTCGGACTTTTCTCTAATGGTTGACATTCTTCCTACACCAATGAATGAGAAAGTGAGCTTAACATGCTTAAGTGGAAGAATCGGAATTACAAATAAATAATCATGCATATTATATATACATTCGGAAGCATCGGTATTTCATTCCAAAAATCACGACTTTGCACGAGTTAACACATACTACTGTATCATTTTGTCCACTATTGCAATTGCTATTGTGACTATGTTGAACGCATCCATCCCATCGAACACGAGATAAAGGATACAACAGATACAGTTAAGTCGGCCTCATATATTGACTTACATCTACACATTGATAATGAGGGTCTAAGTAGCAACATTCCAGCAGCGCCTGCATACGGAGTATATATCTCCAAATTGATACGATATCAAGAGCTGGTTAATAACCGCTATGGATGAACAGTTTCACAGATGATATCAGATATGTTCCTTACGTGGTTACTACAATCCCCTTCCCTTTCATGAATGTGACCTACCGAATGAGACTATTTACCAGGTTTGTTGAAATAACATAAGCAACACGACGGGTGCCACATGTGGAGCAGGATCTGCGTACCCTTCCGGAGCACATGAGACCCCCCAGTTTTTGGTGGGGTTTGTGTTGCTTAGTCTTTAGTTTTCTATGTTGTGTCTTGTGTACTATTGTTTGTCTGTTTGTCTTTTTCGTTTTTAGCCATTGCGTTGTCAGTTTATTTTCGATCTATGAGTTTGACTGTCCCTCTAGTATCTTTCGCCCCTCTTTTGCCAAACAAAGTTTACCTTATATCCTCTTCTGCGTTGTGTCATATATTTCATATTACAGCACTTATAAAAACAGTTTGTGACTGAGGTCAGACTAAGATAACCGTTGACAACAAAAATCTCTGCAATAGTTAGAAAAAATGAAAATAAGGTATATATCGCATGCGTCCAAAGCGCTATTCCGGGTTGATCTTTATCATTTACGCTCAGAGCCTTATATTTGAAAGACGAGGATGTAAAAAAAAAACAACAGAAACAGTTGAAGAGCTATTCGACCAAAAGAACAAAAAAATAAGACAACATAGTTGACGGTCAGCTGCACCTGGTGGACTTGAAATCTTAGGTTTTTTTTATTTAAATATTTATAATTGGACAATTGAAGAGAATTTGAAGGAATTGCAGAATCAAAACTCCTTTTTTTGCTGGCATGGTTTATAAAAAAAGTCGATATAATATATGTTATTACCAATGTAATTTCAACTGATCTTACGCTTTAATTTGCATATGGACAGTCTTTTTGAAGATGTGTGCAATAAGGATGATTTCCGTTACAATTATAATTGATTTCTAATCACTTATCAGTGTCACAAAACGGATATACAAAAGAGCTGACGGTATGATACTAGTATGGGACAAATAGCTGAACACTAATTGATGAATTTATCCAAAAAAACACCTGTATATATACGGACTGGTCCATGATGAGCAAACCGGTTAAACACCGCCAGTCAAGTGAAATAAATCAAGTATTAACATCAGAACAGTTATCAAAAATTAAATTGGAAATATATTATAATTGCTTCCTTTGTTGAAACACCATTTAAAAACAAATAATATAAAGGTCATACAATTATTCAAGCATTTAGGAGACAAAAGTCAAAACATAAAAGCGCTTTTAATGCTGAACTCACCTGAACGTTTGAAAAGTCCTTGATTTATCCTTTGTCTAAAGCGTTTGAAAGATAAAGAATTTTGAAGACTTCAAAATGGCGCAAATTTATATTTTATTTATAGTTAAATGGCAAAAACATCAAATTTGTCTGTTTTATAAATTGCAATGAGAATTTTATTTAGAGAAAGAATCATACCAAAACAGGAGGAAACATCAGGAATCTTTAACGTGAGTATTTCCTTATATTTGACTTGTTTATCTATCTGTTTGTATGAGAAAATGTAAACAAAGTATCTACTGGACCCATATGCTCATGTACAAGTTCTATAGCTGATATATATGTTCAAACAGCTCAGTCAATTGTTGATTATTATACATTTTTTTCAAGTATTCTTTTATTCATATTTTGGACATCTTCAATCGCCTGTCCAAAGCCAAACTGACTCCTCGTTAGGTTTGTCTTGTCTTGACTTAATCTTAATGGTTTATATATTGTTTTTAAACGACGTATAATATATGTGGACACAACATATAATAAACAGTACTGCCTAGTATACAATATGAATTTGAAGTATACAAATGGAGGATGATAACAAACATTTAGCGATAATACCGTGTCACAAATATGCAAATGCAGCTATTGTGTTTCTTTGAAACCTACATGTAAATAAGTACCTGTGTTACTTAGTATTCTTAAATCAAGATTCAGGGGCAGATCCAGCCATTTTCATAAGGGGGAACGGGGGTCAAAGCATAAGTTCCAGGAATATACCCCCCTCCCTAATATGCCCCTGAGACATAATATACATAACACGTACCTCATATGTGAAATATTTTACATTTACTGTATCATCATACAATTTCGTAAAAAACTAAAACTTTAGCATTTTATATCATGTAACTTTAATATTATAAGAACTTGTTCAAATTTCGAAGAATGCTAAAATTTTAGTTTCATAAATTGAATCTTTTTTTTTGGCAGCTAAAATTTTAGCCGTAAGAGTTTTGAATTAAAATTTTCGGTAGGCTAAAAATTTTGTTTTAATATATAAATGTATTGTGTATTATATATAAAAAGGGAATGCTAAAATTTATAGCAAAGATGTTATTTCTTTTCTTTTTATTGCAGGATGATACTAAACCAGTTCGGAATTTTCTTATCTTATTTCTTTAATAGATAAATTGTATTCAGCTGAATTATTGAAAAGCTGAATGCAGTTTCTCTGGCACAAAAGAAATTAAGGTTTTTCACCATGGATGCGAATTGTTTCTTTTTATGAAATGGTTATTTAAAAAGATATATGTAAGTAATCATACATTAAATTTAAAACACAGGTTTTTAGCGAAAAAACATAAACTTTTAGCCATTTTGCAATGATTCAAAACAATCCATTTTGAGAATGAAAATTACAGTGAATCAAAATTTATTGCAGTCCGTTTTTAGTCATTAACGACGCTCAAATTCAAGCTCAAATATGAAAAATCTATCAAGTATGCCATAATATGTCACTTTTCAGATGGTTTTTGTCAAAAATGAAAGTGGCCGCATCCGTGTTCATTCTCAACCTTTATATATGTTATGTATTATCATCAAATACAACTTGCATTTAAATATTAAGAATGAACACAAATGCGGCCACTTCCATTTTAGACGGAAACCGTCTAAAAATTAACCAAAATGCTAAAATTTCAAAGATTTCAGTAATTTAGCATGACTTAATGATGCTAGTACCCGATACATGTGTATTGTATTGTCAAAATCAGCCCATATTTAAGTAACAGAAGTATTCCAATAAATAGCTAAAAATTTACATTTTAACAATTTTGTAAAACTGCTATATTTTGGGGCCAAAAAGGGGTCTTACTGGGCCTTCTCCTTTAATATATACAGCCTCCTCCATTAATAACTGCTGTTTCCTTTGAATCTTAAATAAGAAATAAGATAAAACAAATGTTTGCGTTATTACGGAAAGGTTTGCGTTATTTCACAAAGGTTTGCGTAGAAACAGTACTAAGTGAAAAAGACTTATTTTTCGCAAAGATTCCGATTAACACGCATTTTGGTACCACTATATATGTTTATAAATAGCGACAAAAATGCAATCATTTAATTTATTATATTAATTCTAATTCATTTATTGGCATCATTCTATGAAACTATTGATAAGCATACCTTGTCCCATCTTGTATCCTGAGGTTTAAGGCGAATCTGCAAACATCTATTGCACTGAAATTAAAACGATATCTGACATAAGTTATATTCTATTTTGAATTAATTTAAA